AGTGACTTCCACAGATTGGTTGCAGGCTGCATAAAATAGTATTTCTACACAAAATTTCCAAATTTACTGCCCTTCAATTTTATTGAGTACTCTGGACTTCTTGATTAATGTTACTCTGTGAAAGGTTATACGCTTCATTATAGAATACTTGAAGCACTTGACTTGTATTTTAAAAAGGCTATCATAACATTCTATAGTCATTAGAAATCAATTAGCAATTCATTCGAGAAATAGAAGACTGGCCCTGGTGTCCTAGCTAACTTACTTTCCATTAAGCTGCAGCTCTCCAGTATTGTGCACTGAACAAGACAGACTTCATTTTTTTCTTCAGCTTGTTGCTTTCCAGTGACAGCTTCCCTTCTATGATGGATTAAACTTTTCCTATAACTTTCAGTTATTTTTGAAAGACATTTGGCACAAAGTGTCAGTGTGTGGGTGTGTGAATTATAAAATCAGTAGAATTTAGTGAATTGTGTCTGCCCCTCCCATTAAGTGACTGAAGGACCCCCACTGTGTGCTTGGTGATGCTGAACCATTATGTTCAGTAGATAATATGCCTTTAACATTATCTTTGAACTATGATGCCCATGTAATGAATGAGATACTTGCAAAACGGGCCAGACTATTATCTCTGGGGAAAAAAAATATATCTCCATACAAGTAAAGCATGCATATCTCCTGTGGCTTTACCAATATGTCTTCACCTAGTTCTGAAGAACCAGAAGACATAGGCACAAACGTCTATTTATAGAGAAGAACAGAATTTTTATTCCTTGGCCCCTACTGAAACTGCTGGTTGTAATTGCGATCAGCAAATTACAGAATTAAAAGTCCTGGTGTTATTTCTAGGAGATTATCTGTATCATTGAGAGAAAAGCCTTCAACTGGATGTTGAAATGCTATAGTAATGATAGCAATTAAGGATGCTTGGCAAAGGAGGAGCTCAAATACACAAGGTCCATGAGACCTCAAATATGCTGGAATACCCTTTTGATCAAATACACAAGGTCCATCAGACCTCAAATATGCTGGAATACCCTTTTTGCATCATGATGCTGAGTGGTTTCTTTGACAGTACCCAGTAAGGGAAGGTAGTATCCCACTTTGCAGATGGGAAAGCTGAAGCACAGTAAGCCAAAACAATGTCCCTGTGGTGCCAGAAGAGGGTATGTAGCAGATCATGAAAAGGACTCTAAGATCCTTATCTCTGAGGACTCTGAGAGATGATGCATTAATGTTCAGAAATGTACCAACTTTCTCACTGTTAAGAGTAGTGAGATGCGAGTGTTGAAACGTGAGCTGTGAAAGGTCAGACAGTTTGACTCAGAAAGCAGAATTATTTCTATAAATGCCAATCTGCAGATTCCCACTAGTGCTGTGCTCCCAGCTGCTGTAACAGTTGTCCCGTACATGCTTAAGTTGACATCAGGTTGCAATCACCTTGACTGCTGTAGCTAGAATATTATAATTCAGACCTGCCCTGTCCAATAGTCTTTGTTCAGAACTGTAAATTTGGAAGATGATCCACCTTTTCTATTGAGATTCATATGGTTAACAGTAAACACTTGGGGAGAAGTGCACTTGGTGACCAGAGAGCTGAACTGTGTATGAAGAGTTGTACTTGTCTGTCCTAGAGAGGTAACCTATAACTTAACCCATTTCTGTTCACTATAGACAACACTACAAAACCTATTCTGCAGACCTCGCTTTCCGCACTCAGCAGTGTGTAATGGTAACACTCCTTCTGATCTTGTCATGATCTTCTGCAGCTTCTCCACTTCGATAGAATAATTAGGAAAAATCAGCTGTACCACCTAAGTTATGCTTGCAGTAAAAGCCTCCAGCTGCAGTCAACAAGACATGTGAATGCATACACACATGATTAATAGCTACATATTTGCAGAATGAGGATAAGTTTCCAGGAAGCAGTTTCAGTCAAACACAGGTGCAAGGCTTTTAGTGATAACCGTATGGGGGATTTGTTTGATTGAGGACAGCACCTCCCGGACTTCTAGGATACTTCCATTTTGGAGGAGTTGTTTCCAGATTATTGGAAGGATACAATCTTAGCCAAGAAATTGATGTTGCTTGAATGTTGATAGGTTGCTATTACTGTTTTGAGTAAGTCTGTTTCTCTTTTTTCACCCAACTTCTGCCAAGCAGCCTGTATCTCTGCATTTCTCTTGTTGACATTTTTCAAGAGCAAATAGTAAGCTCACAATGTAATGTCTCCTATCAAAGTGGTTTTTTAAACATAATTTACTAAATACCTGGTGCTATATCAGCATATAACATACATTTCTGTCATCTGTGGTTCAGTCCCACAATGTACTGAATAATCTCACCTTCTACTAAAGAAAATGAGACATGAGAGTACCAAACGTAGGGAGTTGAGCAACAGAGAGTACATACTCAGCTGTCTGCCAAATACTGTTGTTTTCTCTATACTTGAGAAACTATCACCGTCTCTGTCTTTCAGCGTCTCTGTTACGTATATGAGTGGGCAATAAAAACGAGATGAAAAGCTGACCTCTTAAATGCTTAGTCTGAGAAGTCCCAAATGCTTTGCTGTACCAGAATGCAGGTCTATTTTTCAGGACTAATTTGTGCTGATGCTAGCTGGTACAATTGTTATGCAATTGTGCTAGACGTTGGGAATAGCCAGAGTACACTATATTCTAGTTATATACATTACCAGGCCACGATGGAAGCTTCTTGCCATCTGGAAATTTCTTCATGCCAGAGTAGTACAAAAGGACAGGCACCTGAATTCTGTACCTGGTAGCCTGGTATTTGCTATTTAGGATTCACTTGTACCACAGCTTTGAGAAGTTCTACTTTTCCAGCCAATTTTCCCAGCTGACAAAAAAAAAAAAAAAAAAACTGTCGATAGATAAATACCATCCGTACAGCTGAGGCTTTTTTATCACCATCTATCATAATTAGCGGGAAGTTGAGTCATCATTGTGCCTGCACTGGTAAATTCTTATGGCAGTTTTTCAAAGTCATCCATACTTATTGTTTGTGCGGATTGCTTTATATAGATAGTGGCGTTCTTTGTAGAAGAGAGAGGATGTTAAGTCTCGTTTCTTTACTTAATTCCAGTTTGGGTAGTTACATTTTCCCTGCCTGATTTCTCCACCATGATTTCAGGTGAATATTTGCTTCCATCTTTATATACCATGATGCTTTGTTCTCTTTAAAGCACTTATGTGTTTCACACCAGAGGTGTCTACTTTTTGGTCATGTGGGAGGAAATGGGGCTTGCAAACATAAAGAATAATTAGTATTATTTATAAACTAACTGAGCAATTCTACAAAAGCATTCAAAGGGGGAAACTGGATAATATGCTTAGGGAATGTTAGAGGGACTCCTGGATTCCTGAAGAGAAATGTTCAGATGCTCTCTTCTGACCACTAAATGTATTAATCCTGTGAGGAAGGAGATGATGAACTGTTTTCACAGAGACAGATTTTGAGCTTATTTTTTAATGAGTCTACTTCAGTTCAGTCGCAGCTGAAGGAGCCCTGAGATAGAGTTCTGGATCGGCCCATTGACTGTGGACTGTTGCCAGACAAGGAGTTTAGTGACTGTACTTTGAAAGAAAAATGGGTAATGGACTTCCATCCACAAAGAACTGATTATATTAGTGTTATTCTCCTGCCTTGTCTTACTGAAGGTCTGAAATTCCTTTCCCGAGTTGCTATGAATCTTGAGTCAGATCGCCTCCCCTGAAGTGTGTCTCAGTGCCCATGTATGGAAGAATATTTCTTCTGTGATCACAACAAATGCTTGGGTTGCAAAGGAGAGTGAGCTTTCCTGGAAGGAGAGGACAATATATGATAAAATTTTCAAAAGCATGGAACACAAAGGAACCTGGGCTGCTTTATGCCTTTGGGTACTTAGAAGTCTGCAATTTACGTTCATAAATCATTTTAGTGCTCCTGGAAATGTTCAACACCATCTGTTTCTTTAATGATGATGTGTCTGGCTCAGGAGATAAGTGTTTATGAAAAGTAAAGAAGAAGGAACTCCGATATTTTTGATACCATCATGAAAGTGAGATTCTATTAAGGTATCCAGCAACTTTCCAAAATTTTGAACTTTGAAGGAGATTTCAAGATAAAATGGTGTTTAAGTACTAGATGCTTTTAGAATATATACAGTATCCTATTATGTGCTAGAGTTGCTCTACACATAAGACAGGTTCTGGTGCTAAAACAATAGTCTGCCTGCTTCATTTGTATATTCTTATCATAGTGTGAAAGCCAGACCTATGCTCATGCCATTCAGTTTACAGTCCCCAAGGCTCCGAGTTTTCAGTTGTGAAGGAATCACATTTTGAAGGAGAGAGTCATCCTTCAAGGACCGAAAGGAAGTTTGTGAGAAAGCTTTAGAAAACATTTGACCACGTCAGAACATGGTGGGCCTTGAAAGGACCTTCCTCAAAAGCATACAGCGACTGCCCTCACTGTGGTAAACTGTGAAGATTACCAGAGCATTCCCAGGGAAAGATGAGTATTTGCCCACAGTTACCACATGCTTCTCTCTGAGGTAAATGTACCTGTGCTATACATGGGAAGTAAGTGTGATCTGACAACACACTCTGGCAATGCTTGGCAAAAACTAGCAATATTTTCACTAGCAGCAAAGAGTGTGTGCAGTGGTTAGACTAGAAGTTTAGAAGTCATCGGATGGACCCTTGCGGTACTGTGAGTAAACTCCAGAAAGTGACAGTCTACAACTCTGAGCATCCAAAGAAGTGCTAGTATGGCACACGGTTATACCTCAGCCTATATTATTCACTGCCTGTGAGGAAACAGCTAGAGGGAAAAAGCAATCAAAGGAGCGGTCACATGAGAAACAACATACAGAAACAGTTGCTTATGATTATGTGTAAACCAACCACAGGCTCTGTTTACAAACCTTTCCATCTGTTCCTTTGCCTAATCATTTCTGCTTTCCCTCTCTGTCTTCTAACTTTCCTTCGTCTTTCCAGATGCAGGACGCTATGGGCTATGAGTTACCATGGGTGTATTTTGTCAGTCTGGTCATCTTTGGATCCTTTTTCGTTCTAAATCTGGTTCTTGGTGTGTTGAGCGGGTAAGCCGACAGTTTTGGTGTCCTTTTTCCAATGCTACAGGGCAAGACTCCATAATAAGGGTTCTTCCCTGTCACCAGGATTCTTTCAGAGGGATTAAAAATCTGAATCCAAGGAAACTTTACATCAGCTCTCAAATATTTTGACAAAATGTTCAAACATTGCAAATAACAATACAGGTAACAAAAGAGGTGTTATTCTCTTACAAAAAAAATCAACCTCAGAGCATTCAAAATGACTAATGTTAACCTGTCACAAATTTCCAGAAAACTGGCTATTGAAAATCTTACTGCTGGTGACTTGGGATCTCTTTGGCTGGAGCCTTGCAGCGCTCAGAATCTGAGCTTGTCTCACTAATTATCATTCCACTCTTCCAGGTCAATGATGCCATAGGAAGGGACTGGCCCTGGATCTATTTTGTTACACTAATCATCATAGGGTCATTTTTTGTACTTAACTTGGTTCTCGGTGTACTTAGCGGGTAAGCAGTACCAGGAAAATGTTTTGTTATTGTTTATTTTTTAAAATTTGTATTTCTATTCCTACTCTCTGGTTACCAAAACAAGGGGCAGTGGCGGGTTGATTTCAGGAACCTTAATAGAAGGCCTAGGCTGTTGCTGTGCCAATAGGAAAATATGGCATTCCTAATGGCATGGAAGGAGTCTTTTGACTAAATCAAAGAAATACAAGACAACTCTTTGCCTGTAACATGTTCCTCTGCCTAAAACTTCTACCTGTACTCTGTGGGAAGAGGACAACATTATGCTCCCCTGTGGGCGAAGCACACCCTTCACCATAGAAGAAGGGGATTATAGTTAAATCTCTCGAAGAGTCAGTGGGACTGAAGGAGGAATGAGAGCACGAGACAAATCTGTTCACATTTGTGGGATGAAATTCCTGCCAAATTATGTCTTCTCACATGAGAAATTTTCACATTGCTTAGTATCTCTAAAGCACAGCCTAATGAGAGACACTATTTTCCCTGGAGAGTGTCTTGGGCATGTTTCTTCAATAAGCACATCTTCTCTGTTGTGTGTATTACAAGCCTAGTATGATGCAGGGAGAAAAGATCCTTTGCCTCTGACCTTTTCTAAGGAGGAACAGAGAAGTAGGAGAATTCCTTCTAGTGTTTAAGCATCCCTAAGACATATAGATGTTTAGCTGTGTTTCGGTTCTGCAGTTCTGCTCTCTGCAAAGCATCATTTTAGTAGCTTTGATTAAAAACAATTGATATTGTCCTTGGGGAGCCACACAATTAGAGGAATCAAGCCAGCAAACATTCCTCACAGGGTTTTTTTTAAAAAAAAAAAAAAAGAACTCCTAGAATTAGGCTTCTAATTCCATACTTGGGCATGACTGGGTGCCTACAGCCATTCTATGTACATGGATAAATATGGTATGAGGACATTTATGCATCCTCTTTTTCTCTGTTTCTAACATCCTGCCTCCTTTAATGAGCTCTAAATGAATTTGGTCAGAGACTGTACCTGTTGCCTGAGTGGGCAGCACTAAGGTCCCCTGTCTTTTAATCATAAGAGAGGGAAAATGATCTCTGAGCAGGAGAGAGGACTTGATGCTTCACAGAAGTTATGTCCTCAGTACTTTGGGCCAACAACATAGGAAGGGGCAGTAGTAGGACCGGAGAAGATCCACCCTTGGCCATCTTGCAAAGAGACAGGTAATAGCAGATCTACGGGAGGTGTTAACACTGTCTTCATTACTGCATTGAAGGATACCATGCAGCTGAGAGAGTCTGCAAAGAGAAGGGTTTCCAAGCACTAATTGGAGAAGGAAAAAATCCCCAGTAATGAAGTGTGAGGCAATAGTCTGTGTTTGGATATTTGGAGAGTGATACTCTGGGTTCAGTTTTAAAACATAAGCTCCTCCAGGTGGATACTCTGATCAGCAGGTAAGGATGTCCTCAGGAGTGGAGGATGATGACCAGTTGACAGAGAGAACGTGGTCTGTTGTATCAGAGCTGCACTCAAGGACTATATAAGATAGTGGTTAAAGATTATATAGTATCTGATTGGATTAACAGTGCCTGTGAGCCCAGCCCTGAGGAGTGCATGCTGTTGAAGCAGTGCTGATTCAATTTACCCACACTTGGATTTGTGTCCGTACATAATTGAAAGTCACATTTCCTCTCTTTTTCATTTTTCAACTCAACAAAGTGTTTTGGGGCCTTGATCTTCCACCTCCTGACGTACTGCCACTAGACCACCACAGCTAGTGGTAAGAGATGGAGACAGTCTACAGAGAAAACTGAAATCAAAGATGAAGTTCACCTTGTTTAAGCTGCGAGTCACTCTTTCTGGCTGTGTTCACAGTGCTATGACAGCTGCACTGTTTCTGCAAAATTTTTCCCAACTGGAGAAAAGTAAAAAGAAACTGAAGAATTTGCACCCGTGAAAAAACACAGAAATGATGGGAGAAATGTTCCAAATTTTCTTTGGGCTAAATAAGCAGTTCTTAAACAATTAACTTTCTAAAACAGTTCTAAATCCTGCTGAGTTGCAAAGTGTCTTCACTTTGCATATTCAGCTTTTTTTTAGAGACTTGCTATTGCTATTAGTCTGATCTATGTAGATGATCCACCTGTCTGTTCTGTGTAGATACAAAGCAGCATTCCTGAGCATCTTTGTACATCCATTCTGGGCATCTCTGATTTCTTCCCATTTATTTATTTCAGGAACTTCACCAAGCATGTTGTGTAGGTAGACTTCGTCAATGACAGATTTGCTAGGTTTTTTAATCACTCCTGAATACGTAAGTGTAATTAATTGTACTCACAAAGACACTTTGATTGCACCTGCAAAATCAAATGCTGAGTTCTGCTCTGCCTAAAGAGCTCATTTGTAATTTGTTTTTCCTAGGTATGTCATCCATTCATGGTCCTTCTGGTGAATTTACTAGTCACATGCTAAGCTAAATAGTATGACAGAGTATTCATGTGTAGAGCTATAATCCTCTTCCTGTCTTGACCGAGTGCAACATAAAATTCATGTATTCCAAAGGAAATATCCAGTCAGCAGATCATACAGTAGCTCTCCTAAAGCCCAGGCAAAAGGATTCCACATCATTGCTGTGAGCAGTGCAGTCGCTCTTAGAGGTCTATTGAGATCAGAGATGTTCACATCTGTGTTATCCATTTCAGTCAGTCAGTGAGGAAAAAAAATGGCAGTGTGGGTTCAACTTTCAGGCCTGCATGCCTAAGCATATAGATACACATTTCTTTTATATTTTGCCTAGCAGTGATCCAAATCCCAGGACACAGGCCAAATAAGCGGTAGCCTAGGGCAAACGGGGGACGGAGAACAGCCTTTTCTTCTGCTTTGAGAGGATCCTGGAAAACCCAGTTGGCTGCTTTTGATGCTCTTACTGTCAAGGAAGAGGTCAGAGTAAATGGGAGGCTGGCTATGGTTGTATTTCCTCAGGGAGCCATTTTTGTGACCTTTCAGGACTTTTTCGTAGTCTTCTGTCCCCTCTTCCAACCCTTTCCATTCCTTGGTGCACTTGTCAGGTTGGATGAGGTTTGAAGCGTTGTGCTGAACTTTTAGTAGTAAACAAGTTTTGAACTGTTAGAATTCAGCTGGTTTGCTCACTTTCCATCAGTCCTCTCAATGTGAGAAATTATATTGAGATGGGATATAGACAAGAATTACCTGCATTCCATCATCAGGATGGGTACACGAAATTTTCTTCTGGAACAGCACAGGATACAGAGCTTGGGTGCTTATCTTTATGATCTTAACCTGCTCTAACCTCGCACAGAGAAAACATCTCTCCAGAATACTCTGCTTTTTGGTATTCCCATTGGCAGACATATCTTACAATTTTCTGGAAGTACTAAAGCAAAGCGTCGCAAACTGAATTCTTGTAAAAACAACCAGGTTCACTGACCCTTAAACTGATGTTCTTTTGTTCACTGACAAGAAGCAAGTTGCTTGGTAGCTCTGCAAGCCTTTGTTGACCTTATCCTGATGTGATATTGCAATTTTTTTGAGAAGGCCACCTACAGACTCAAGATGGCACGTCCCTCAGAAAGCTTATTTGGTCCTTGGCCTCCCTGCTGAAACTGCAAACAATGACCATTTATTGCCAACTGTGAGGGTGGCAGAGGTAATCTGCACACCTGCCTGCAATAGGAACTGGACTGAGGTCACCAACTCATTTCACATGGGATGGTAAATGACCATTGGTAGTAACTCTTGATCGTGAACTACATTTGCCTGAGTACAGGCTGGCATTCCACATGGGAAGTGGTTTGAATTCCATTAGCAATTTCCCGAGCCACTTGTTCTCACTGGTTTAATGTTACCAGAGCATAGAAACTGAGATAATTTAAGTAAGTTGTCTTCTTTGGAGAGTCATCTGAGATGTGGAATATCATACATTGTACAAAGGAGAGAGACTTGCAACTGCAGATCATTTAGACTAGAAGACCACAGTATTTTCAGTTGTGTCATTAAAAAGCTAGGTAACAAGTTCAATCCTGTGTAGACAGTCAGTGTAAAGACATCGTGCCAAAATCTCACGTTGGTTTAGTCAGCTCTCCCCTGAGTCCAAGTCCCATTTGAAAGAGACAATAAGCGGGGACTGAAAAGACCCAGGTAAGCATGCAGCTTAGATCTAACATAAGTAATCCACTTCAGTGCACAGTAGGAGTTTCACTTTCTGTAAGCTGGGCTGTTTCATGACGTTTTCCACTTTGGTTTCGAAAACAGCCCCTTGCAAGTTATATCCATGCAAGTATAAATTGTTCTCACTTGGAGTTGAGGGCTCAGTCCCTTTCAAAATTGGACCCATTTGTTCTAGATTCTAAAAAATCAGACTTAATAATACAGTGATATTATTATTTTTTTTTGAGTTAATTCATTAATTTGGATAAGGCACTATGTCTAGGAAGAAAGATGTTACCAAAGCAGAAAATATAACTGGTATTGATTGGATCTTTTTAAAATTCTTTGTACAGTTTTTATTATTGTTGTTGGGGGGTTCTTTGTTTGTGAGGAAATTTTATTTTTCATTCTTGCCATGCTTGCAATAGCTCTGTCTGCCTTGTGGCTAAGTTTGGTCCCAGGGTTGACTGTGATCTACCTTCAGGCCTGAGAAGCCAATGATTCTCTTCCCCGTTTCCACTTTCACTGTCACAGTCCCATGGGCTGGGCTGAACCCTCAGCAAAGTGAGAGGGGTGAAGATCATGCAAACATACTCTGTCACATACTTTGGCTTGAAATGAAGGCATCATCCTACTTTCATTTTGCTGCAGTGCTGGTTTTGGGCACAGCTCATAATATTAAAAGCCTGAGCCAAAGCCTGTGAAGTCAGTGGAAATATTGCAGCGGGTTTTGGACCAGACAGGAGAGAAGTATTTCACCATCACTGTTAGAAACTCACCTCCACCTCAGTTGCTTGAAGATGCTTCCTGTGGCATTCATTAATGTTTTGGGTAGGATTTTCATAATCCTAATAATATCCCACCAAGGTTAGTGGTAGTTTTCTTATTTGTTTTTGTAGGAGCAAACCTAAGACAAATATTAGGGCGGAATTATTATTTTTTTTTTTAAATCCACTCATTGCTGATGGCCATCAGCAAGGGTAATGGATAATGCAATGGGGAGAATGACTTCACCTCTCATTTCTAGACACAGTGGGCCATATTATCTGCTGTGTGTGCCTTGTGTAGTGATCTGCTTCAGCAGATATAAAACTTAATGTTTAGGTACTCTTGGTCCAGCACTTTTCACAATCATTAAGCTTACTTTTTCAAATACAAGTACTAAAACCTGGTTTAGAACCACAGGAGAGTGTCTAAATGGAGGTAGGTCAGCATTTCTAGAAAAAAAACCTAATGCACTATAGATGTGTCTGAAAGAGAGGGAGAAACAGCACCACAGCCAAAAAGAATGCAAAGCAAACGCCTGGGCTCATAACTAAGCAACATAAAATTCTTGTTCCTATGCCCTCTGTTTTAGTCCCAATAGTGTTCTTTCATAAAACTATCAGATGTCTACCCTAGTTCACTTTCTGGCAGAATCTATCAGTTTTATCTATCCATAATCTATCATGTTTGTCTATGTAACTTGAGATTCCATAAATATGTTTCATGTCAGATGCCAGCACTGAATATTAAATTCTGCAGTAAAACACTGAGGTCTGAGTTTTCAACTATATTGTTCAATACTTAATTATGTGCCCATAATTAAGCCTGTACAGAATTGTGAGTACCATTAATTACAATTACAGTTAGCCCAATTTAGTTGTGATTACACATATAATCTTAAGGACAGATTGAAACCTGGCTAAATATTAGAGCCTCCATCTCACTCTCCAGATGTCAGATTATTGTCAAACAGTTCATCATTGAATTAAATTAACCATTATTCATATAGATATTTATGGCTAATGGTTGGAGAATATCAAGTGATAAAGAATATTAGAAAGTGTGTGGTATTGTATATAAATGTTACATATGCGTTTTATTTGAATTGTTAATCAAATGTTGAGAATGAAAGGATTAAAAAAAGATACTGATCTTTCATAAACATTGGTAAAAATGTGGACACTCCAGCTGTTTTACATGTGTATCTAGCAAGGATACTCCATTCATGTGTCTTGAAAGAATAGAGAAAGCTGGGTGTGCTACACAGGATGTGGAGACTTTCTAATGGAAATCAATCTAACCCATTGTTTTTCAATCTCTTCCTTCCCTCCGCCCATGTCCTGTCCCTCCCTCCCTCTTGCTAGGGAGTTTTCCAAAGAAAGAGAGAAGGCTAAGGCTCGGGGCGATTTCCAGAAGTTACGGGAAAAACAACAGCTTGAGGAGGATTTGAAGGGATACTTAGACTGGATAACTCAAGCAGAAGATATTGACCCAGAAAATGAAGACGAAGGCATGGATGAGGAGAAGCCTCGAAACAGTAAGCAATTTTCTTCTGTCTCTCTCTGCGTGCTTTTAGCAAGGGAGCCCATGCCCACCTGCTGTAGTGCTGAGATGGCTTGTAATGAAAAACAAGTTCTTCCTGAGACTTTCACTATGCTTAGACATGATTCCAGTTAATTCCTGTAGGAATCTCCTCCTGTAGGAGGGAGAAATATGTGTACTATAATTGATACTGTTCTGCAGATCCTCAGTTTCTTATCTGTGATACTAACATAAGATCCTGATATTAAACAGAAAAAAAAGATCAATGCTTCCTGTTCGAAGCCCACTATTGGGATAAGTTTTAAAATATACATCTGTCTTCTATTCATTTCTTTAATTGCAGTTTAGTGTTGCAGGCTGGTGACACATGGTAAATTACTTTGAAAGTAAAGATTTCTAGGCAAAGCAATGCTACAGTATGAGAGAAGGGCCAAATCAGCCCTGTTGTACGTTAAGTGGACCATCTGTAACTCCATTGAAATCAGTGGAATCGTGTTTGCTTTTGCCAGGCTGGAATTAAACTCTCAGACATGTCTGGTACGGGAATTATTTCTTACTCTTCTGTTCTAGAGTTGAGAAGATGCTTGTGCAAAGTGAGAATTCACAAACTGTCTCTTCTAGTTAGAAATCCTGAAGAAGGAAAGGTGTGAAGAAAGCGGTGATTCCATACTTTTCATTACTTTCATTGAATCTTCTCCTTCCACCTTCTCTTTTACCAATGCAGGCTATGTAACACTTCAGAAACACCTAGCAGTTATCACTGCAGGTCGTGAACTTGGGAAATGTCAGAGTTGGAACCTTTAGACAGTTACACAGTTAATGGACGCTGGCTCTACTCTTAGCTTTCATTTCTGAAATGTGCATTTTCCTGGTTTGATTTTGGAAGAGAAGACATGCAGCATTTCCCAGAGATCTCCCTTCCAACCAAACAAGCGAAATCCATGGGAAGATCCAATCAGGAACATGTATTCTAGTAATAGGAAGATTGGACATGGGAACGTTGTGCCTACAGAGTAAAGCAAGATTTGTATCAGATGCTCATGATCTTTTGGGGCATAAGCGCTACTGTCTGTTGCTGCCAGAACATTTAAGTTACTTTGGAAAAATAATATGGCGTCATTAATATCAGGTCATACCCATGATACTTAGGTAACTGGACTTAAGGAGTCACCAGCGGGACTTGCTCAGACTTTCCCCAAATCAGGTTATTTTTATTTTTATGTTGGTGCTTCATACGGTATATAGATTACTTTCACAATTTCACCTCAGCAATCACTCGGTAATTAATTTATTATTCATGGCCCAAATTTGCTGCTCTGTGGCATTACATGGAAGCTGATCCAAATTAATTTCTTTGTAGACATGATTTCCTATTAAAAAAATAAACAAACCACCAAACATTACTGCGATGGTCCCTGGTTGGTATACTTACCTGAATGGGAAGGCTGAGGACTGGGTTGACGCAACTCCACTGAAGTCACCAGGAGGCTTTTCCTTGACTTAGTGGGAACTGGGTCACATTTATCACATTTCCTCGTAGGGACCTGCCTGCTAAAGAAAAGTGTAGCCATACTGGTAAGGTAGTGTGATGAGAGCCTGCCTCGGGTACCATCAGATTTGAAGTTTTTCCTTTTTAATTAACACAATCATAATGCTGCATTGATAAAAGAGTTGTGGAATATGTCAGAGGTAGATTCATTGTGTGTGCTGTGGAGTGAGGTCAATCCAGATTTGAGCTAACAAGCTCCTTTTATGGGTGGTCGTGTTAAGAACTGAAAGATAACATATCTTCAGCTTGCTTTCAGTTCTTCCTGTTTCGTTTAATAAGGTGAGTTTTGTAAGGCAAGGTTTATAAAATTAGTCCTCTTACATCTGACAATTTCTCTACAGTTTCTCACAGTTCACTAGTAATGACAGAATTGCATACTATTAACAAACTAACTTGTTACCCATTTCTTTTCCAAACTATTAACGAATACAGTGTCTTCAGTGCTGTTGGCTCCAGGTGTCAGGTCTAAGGGCAGTGGCTGATGACTAGTCCCTAGTAGGCAGCCTATCATTCTCTGTGACATTGTGGCTTTGGGTCACTTTATCAGGTTTTATTACATGACAGACCAGGCTTGGGAACAGACGTCTGCAGTGCTTAGTGCTATACAGTAGAATTATGCCTCTGTTGAGAGAAATTGCTCAGGATGTGAAGGAAGGCTGTGGACTGATTTTGGCCGTGCACTGGGAGCAATGGTCATGCTAACAAAAGTCTCTGCACAAGAGAATAGCAGAAACCAAGCAAACGGGTCACTCCATGATGTTTATTTGCCTGTTCTTCTGACATGTGTGCCCCATCTAGAGCAGGCTGTTGATAGCAGTATTCTTAGCACCTATGGCATGCATCTATGAATGACAAATTAATCCTTCTTCTTGCTTTGGTGCACCATCCAGTGCTGTACCATGGCCTTCTTCCCGCCACAGGCTTTTTTGACTATGGCAGTAAAGGGTCTCTGTACTGCCATCCTCTGGTAAGGAAACAAATAGCCTCCA